AGGTTGACCCTGTCCGACGCGGAAGCGACCCAGCTGAGACCACCTGCCAGAGTGAGGCAGTCCTCCGCAGGCGGAGAGGGAATCGCTGATCATGGCGCGCAGCATAGAACGGGAATCAAAATATGAGTGGCCGTCCTGGCGCCAGGAAAAGGGGCGCCACCCATGTCTCCGTCAGTCGGGGTCGCCCCACTGCCCGCTCGTCCGTAAACTACCGCGATGTCGAGGGCCCCCAGCGGGCCGCGCCAACGCAACTTGGCGGCGCGGCCGCGCCAAATATGCGCCCACCGAGGCTTCTCTGAGAACTGCTTCAGACAAGAATCGCGGACAAAGACCCCGATGCCAGCGCGCGGCCAGCTGAGGCTGCTTCCGCCCATCAAACGGTCGTGCCCTGGGGGGCTCGCCAAGTGGAGTTGCGGGCCTCGGAACCGTGGGCCCCGGCAATCAAACAGATGTCGGACTTCAGCATCAGCTTGTCGACGCGCGAACTCTTCGCGGAGCAGCGGTCCATGTCTGTAGCAGACAAGGCCTGCGCATTCCAGGCGGTCATGGAGAGCCCCCCCTGGAACTGCCCACTGCGCAACATATCAAGAGCGTTCGAAGCAGCAGGGGGGCGAACGAACGGAGGAAGAAGCAGCGGGTCCGCTGGCAGGGCGCCGACGGCACGGAGAAGCCGAATATGACGGCATACATGTACAGGGAGGTCGAACGTCGCGTGATCAGGCGGCATCGAGGGAAGGATTTCGTCGACGGGAAACACGAGACGCGGATGGTCAGCAGCAGCATTATGATCAGTAGCACGGCGAGGCGTAGACCGGAAGCAACAGCTGGTAGAAGAAGATACAAGTCCTGCAAGCAGAGAAACTCATGGCACCCTGGCGAGAGTTGGGCCCGACGGTCACTTGCGGCTGGCGGTCCGCTCGCGACGGCGGGGAAGGCGCAAGGCCCTCCCCGCGGGCGCGGAAGACGGCGAACACGGCGAAGCCCGATTGTTCCAACTCACCAATGCAAGACATTCCGAGGTCGGCCCTGACCTCTCCCCCAGAAGGCGGTGCGCCCACTCATGAACACGGGGAGCGCCGAGTCCCGCGCCCTCGGGCCGTTTCCCGACTCGATGGCCAACTCCAGGAAATCCTTGTCAACCTGGATGTGGATGCGGTCCTGCCCGACCTGGACGGCCTTGTTGTGCAGGGCGTCGTGGAGCTTGCGCGCGTCCGCCTTGGTCTTGGTCAGCACCTCGATGACTCCGCCAACGGAGGCCAGCTGGCCACGGTCCACAGGCACGCACTCCCCAGCCTCGAGGTCGTCTGGGTCGAGGGCGAGCGACAATGAGAGGCCCGTGGACACTGCCGCGTGCTGCATCAGCGTCTTCAGCACCTCGTGATCCCGTGGCCCGATTTCGCCCTGCACCTTCATCTCGGCGAGGTGGTCCGAGATGAGATGGAGTGGGCCTTGCCTGCGCTGCGCTTGGCGGCAACAGTGCGGGGGACCACGGAGGCCAGGGTGGCGATAGCTCACCCGCCGAGCCGTGATGGGGCGGCGTTCAAGCCGCGTCGCGGCGTGAGCGGCGTCCTGCAGCCAGATCTCGTCCGTCGTGCCCGTCCAGGAATCAGCCGAAGCGTCCGACAGCAGCAGGAACCTCGAAGGGCTCAAGATGCACACCTGCGAACAAAGGGGCCGGTAGTGGTGGAATACTCCCAGCCCGTTGCACCTCAGGAGACAAGTGTCGGAGTGGGACAAGAGCCCTTTCAGGCCAAAGGTGGAGCCCGAAAAATGAACGCGACGCGGCTCACTGAGCATGGTGATGATGTCGGAATGCGTGATGTGGCTCGGTAAGACCAGGTCTAGTGAAATGCGAGGCGCCTCCGGGGAGCTGCGGAGGCTCTTGCGATGAGCGCGAGGGGCCGTGCTTGTCAGGAGTGAGAGGGAACCCAAGGACAGAAATTGAGGGAGGTCGTCCACGAGAAAGTCGAACGTGACAGCCTTCACCTCGGGCAGCTGTAAGAGCGGGACCACGATGATCAACCGAGGGACGACAATTTGCGGCCCGCCGAGCCGCAAAGAGAAGAGCGCCAAAACCCTGCCGTCCGACGCGGGGGATTCGGGCCATCGTGGGCGGGACCACCTCAAACGGGAAGGGGACGAAGGCCACACCCTTGACGATGGGGAGCCACGTGGCGGATAGGAGCAGAAGTGGCAGATGTCGGTGATGTTGGAGGTGATATTCAGGCCGGTCGTGCCGGGGTTGGCGGAAACGAAGGTGAGGTGAGCGGGGCGCGAGGCGGGGTCGGAGCGCCGCAGGAAAGCGGCCAGCAGGCGGGTCAGCGAGTGGTTGTCGGAGGGGGTCCAGATCACCGCCGACTTCCCCGCAATGTCGCCCCACAGTGCCTCGTTGCCCTTCTCCGCCTTGGCTGCCAAGACGCGGGCATCCGCTGGGGGCCGCGCGTCCGGGTCCCCAGCACGCAGGACGTCGGACCACTGCGTGTAGATCTCAACTTGGGTCGGGCCTGTCCCCCTACAGGGGGATTTTGGACGAAAAATAAAAAGATACGCAACAAAAATCCCGAAAGATGCCCAATAAAAACTCAACAAATAGTCCCCAGGCTATTTTTTCCCATGCTTGAATGCTCCCCCTGTAGAGGGACAGGCCCGACTTAAATCTCAACGCGTGGGATCTGTGCGGTGTCCTTGATTGCCGCTATGGCGCCTCCCTCCCGAGCTCCTTGAGCAGCGGCAGCCGGTCGGGCCTGAACCGGCGGCCCTCCCGGAGAACCAGCGCCGGCTCCCCCTCGCACTGTGCGCCTGCGGCGGGGACCTTGTCCAGCAGGGCCTTGGCCTGCCTTGCAGTGTCCTCCGGCCAAGTGGAGGCGGAGGAAGGGGAAAGGAGAGTGGAGGCAGCGCAGCCTCGCGCCAAGACATCCACGTCCGTGGGGTCAGGGCCCTCCAGCTCGGCGAAGCCCAAGAACTCCCACATGTCCTGCATGCGACTCCGTGCGGTAGCCCATCTTCGTGAGGATAGCCTGCAACTCCAAGACGCCAGTGGAAAGCCGGACCGGGAGCGACTGGACGTCGGAGGACGCCTCGGCTAGCTGATGAAGCAGCTGGACGTGCTGCAACATCTCTTGCTCGACCTAATCTCGAAGCAAAGAAGCCCTGGACGACGACGGTCCGAGCCCGGATGGGCCAGGGACAGGAGCGGGTTAAGCAGCCGTTGCGGCATGACCAAGCAGCGCCCGTTGACAACGTCTACACCCACCCAGCTCACCGGTCAGCTCAGGGAGTACGCCGAGTAACGGGCAAGCCGGACGTGTGCACGCCATGCTGCCGAAGATTAGCTGGACGTGACTGCTCTCTGTGCAGCGGGGACAAAAAATGCTGCCCGGGGGTCAGCACTTTGGGGTGGCGATGGGCCCAGGCGGAAAGAAGAGCCAAATGCTTGACCCACGCCCTTGAGCGAACAGGGGCCCTTGAAGCGTGACATCGAAGAATTGCTCGTCCTTAGCCTGCGCTCTGACTGATCAAGCAGGTCCGTGTATTGGCGACCCTGGCGATGGTTACTGCCGCCGCGTGGATCGTTCAACCTTGAACGATCGGCGGCTTTTCGATCGCCAGATCGTTCCGTATTGACGGATTCTGGGCCGCTGGCGCTGTTGAATCTTGAACGCCCGGGGCGGGGTCGCTGCCGCTTCGGCACGACGCGACCTGCCGCAGGGGGGCTCGCTGGGTTAGGAATGGGCCCAGAGCAATGTGATCCTCCTCCTCCTTCTCCTCCTCCTCCTCCTCATCTTCCTCCGTCACTCCACCCCAAGAAATTCGGGGTCTCGGTCGAGCCGCCTTCTTTTTGCCCCCTCTAGGTGGGGTCCTTGGTCTTGGATGTCGACGGGGGGGCGATCGGATCAGGGCTAGAGGTTCTCGAACATCATTGTGGCTTCTCGGCGGCCTTCCAGTCTCGGGGTGCCTTCCAGCAACGGCGCCCCGCCGAGAGCGCTCTGGGGGTGCCCAGATCCTCCCGAACGGCCGCCAGAGCCCGGGAGAATGACCCGAAAACATTACCAGGGGACCGGGTCAGGGGGGAACATCGAACACATGAGGAGGAGGAGGAGGAGGAGGAGGAGGAGGAGGAGGAGGAGCAGCAGGAGGAGCAGCAGGAGGAGGAGCAGGAGGAGGAGGAGGAGGAGCAGGAGGAGGAGGAGGAGCAGGAGGAGCAGGAGGAGGAGGAGGAGGAGGAAGGTGATGCTGTTGATCTCCCATGGGCGGATCCGGTATCTCCAAGCCGCGGGAGTCGGCGATGCATCGCCGGCAGGTCGGCGACAGGCACCCGACGGCGAATCCGCGCGGTCCTGGGATGAGCGGGCCGTGGGGCCCCCCCTCGGCGACCAGCAAGCGTTCGGGGGCCGATGCAACCCCGCCCGGGGAGCCCGTCCGCCCCCGAACGTGGCCCCACCTCGGGGGCAGCCCCCGACGGGTTCGTGCGCAGGCCGTGCGTGGCTGGGCAGGGAGGTGGAGGAGGCCACGCGGTGTGCCCCTGAGACCTCCTCCTCCTCCTCATCCTCCTCCTCCTCCTCATTATCCTCCTCCTCCTGCGCCTCCTCCTCCTCCTCCTCCTCCTCCTCCTTCTTCTCTTCCCCCTCCTCCTCGTGGAGAGGTGGGGGCCAGCTGCACACCACTCTGGTCCTGACCGCCGATCCGCCCCCGACCCGAGCCCGTGAGACGCGAAACAGCTGTGCGCGCCACGCCCGCGCGCAGGCCGGCGCCGCGCGGCGGGCGGAGGCGTCGCAAGCGCAAGAGGGCACACATCCGACGGCCAACGGAGGGAAGCCGAAACCGCACATGGCTGGACTTGGCGGCATGGGTTCCAACCTGACCAGGGGCCGGCGGTCGGGGTACTCCTATGGATCTGCACCACCCTCTGCCCCTGCAACGAAAGAGGCGTGAAACCGTGAAACGTGTGAGGCTCGCGCGTTGGATCGCCCCACCACCGCGGAGCGGGCCATGCCTCGGAGCTAGCCGTGGGCGTCGCTGCGCTGCGCGCTGTGAGGGTGGAGATGCTGGTGGTGGCGGTGGTGGTGGTGGTGGTGGTGCCCAGGCTGCTCGTGGTGGCCACGAGGTGTGTCGTACGGCACAGCCAGCAGGCCGGCCAGCTTGGTGAGCAGTCCCTTCTTGGTGGCGGAGAGGTCGCTCTTCTTCTGCATGAGCTTTCTGAACTCCTCCTCGAGCTCGCAGGCGTACTCGTGCAGCACCTCGTTCTGGCTCTGCAGCTGCCGCTGCCGCCGCTCGCTCTCCTGGAGCATCACAAGCAACAGGCTGCGCAGACACTTTTCTCTTTTACAAGCACAGAGGCAGAGGGACAAACTGCTTAGACACCTGCTTCTGGAGGTCCTCGCAGATTCCGTGGGTCCGCGTTGAAGCCGCTCCCCACACGCGCCGGGGGCGGCGCCAGAGGCGCCGCCAGGGGTGTGTGCACGGGGATCCAGCGCGGTCCCGCGAAATCCGTGCGGGCCTCAGAAACTATATGCTTGTGCCACTTTCACGGTTTCGATCTCCTTTCGTTGAGGGCTCAACGATTTCTGCCGTCCCTGGACTCGCGCCGCTGGAGCGACCACGATTTGCTCCAAGCTTCCATGTAAATCTCTGGAAGTACCTGGTGTTGCCTAGATGTATCTACATGTGCCTTGGACAATCCAGCTTGATCCTCACAGATCGATTGGCGAAAAGGCGTCAAGCCCTTAGGGATCCTTAAGGAGCGCGTGGTAGTACTTCTTGTGCGCCTTGAACTCGAGAATCCTAAGCACGGTCTGGGCGCGCGCCCTGAACTTCTCCAGCTGCGGCAAGCTCGCCAGAGCGCCCGCCTTCCCGCTTTTCAGATCCTCGTCGGTCGGCAAGTCGCTCGTGCGCAGCACCTCCGCTATGACGCTCTCGTCCTGCATCTGGTATTGTTTCCTTCTCGTCCTCCTCCAACTCCTCCCTGTGCCTCCTCCAGGACCTCCTCCTCCTCCTCTTCCTCATCCTCCTCCGCCTCCAATTTCGCGGCCTCCACCACCACCCCCTCTACTTCCTCGTCCTCCTCCTCCTCCGTCACGGCCTTTCATTCCGTCTCGTCGTCCTCCCTCCTCCGTTCCCTCTTTCATTCCCTCCCCCTCCCCATCCTCCTCCACTTCTTCTTTCTCATTTTCCCCACGTATCCTCGCCGCTCATTGTCATAAAATTCCTCCTCGTGCTTCTCCGTTCCCTCTTTCATTCCTTCCAGCTTTTCATCCCCGTCCACTTCATCTGTCTCATCTTCCCCCCGTATCCTCGCCACCCATCTTCATCATGTTCCTCCTCGTGCTTTCCCTCGTCGTCCTCCTCCTGTCTGCTCCTCCTCTTCCACCCTCCTCCTTTTCCTCCTCCTCCTCATCATCATCCTTCTCCTCCTCCTCTTCCTCCTCCTCCTCCTCGTCGTCCTCCTCCTCGTCCTCGTCCCGTTCTCCTCCTTTTCTTCCTCCTCCTCCTCTTCCTCCTCCATGCCTTCGCTTTGTATGATCATCCCGTAATTCTGTCCTCATCCACATCCTCCTCCCTTCCCTCCCCAGCCTCCTCCATCTTCCCCCTCCCTCCGCTTTCCCTGTTCTCGTCCCTCCCCATCCATCATCCCCGCCTTCGCACCCCTCGCCCCTCCGAACCCCTCCTCCGCCCCGGTTCTCCCCCCCTCCCAGCCCCTCGCACTCCCTCCCCTCCTGGGGAACAGAACAGGCACCGACACCGCTGATCCCGGGACTTTTCCTGGAACGCGTTGTGGCAAGGATTTCGGGGCGAATCCACCGTGGCGACGAGGGCCTCGCAGGAAACTAACAGAACGAAAACGGAGCAAAGGCGGCGGTATTGGTGCCTTTTCCGCCTCTGACCTCTTTCATCCCTCACCCTCTCGTCCAGCATTTCGTGCTCCAGAGCGCCCATGAGGCAGTCCAGCCACAGCTCGGGCCCCGTGGGTTCGCTGTTCAACTCCTCGGCCAGGTCATCAATGTCCTGGTCGGACCACGCCTCGTCCTGCTCGGCGCCCTTGGAGGACGGAACCAGGAGAGGAGCGGAAAAGGGAGATCGGACACGGGTGTGGGCCAAGCGCCGCCTGGGCCAGTCAACCCGTGCTGACGGGAGGTGCCTCAAGTATACCTGGCAGTGGTGGCCAAAAACCTCCCCCCTGGCTCGGTCCAAAAACGGTACCCTGGCTGAAAAATTACAAACGCACGTCGATAACGGCGCGGAACGCCCTCTTTACAAGTCCGCGCGGCAGGGGCGCACCGGCGTTCACCGCGCTTTGGCGCGAACGCCTCTGGGCCATGGGAAACGAAGGCGCCACATTGGGGCCCCCCCCAGAACCCCAGCACCTGGTCTGCTGAACGAGTTGCCAGGTGTTCGAACAGCGTGCGGCAAGGAGGGGGGAAGCATGCGAACGACGATCAAAAACGGGTTTTACGCGAAATGATACAGCGTCCTTGCGTGGTGGTCTACGCGGGCCGCCAACGCGGAACACCATTTTGGAGGCGAGGGCGTTTACGCACGACCTTACGCGGGCAGCGCACGCGCCAACGTCGGCGCAGACGACCCCACTTTTTGCGTCGCTCAGGTGCAAGTTCGCAAAAACCGCGGCCAACACGACGGGGCGAATGCTCAATGACGGACCGATCGCGCCACGTATCGGCACATATCTTCATCATTTCCGCAAATACGATAAACTATACTAAATCATAACCGTTCCGAAGACAAGGAAATCCCATATGTTGCGAAAGCGCGGCGGTGCAAACAAACACATTGTTGCAACACCACGGTTTTGCAACAGCCTTTGTGTTCCCGCACAATAAGAATCATTGTGGTTTGCAAGCGTCGACATTCTATCATCTGCGCCCCCTTCAATCCATTAGGACTCTGACCCAGAACCAAGGCACGGTGGCGGATCGTCGTCGTCGTCGTCGCCGTCGCCCTAATCGACGCTCCCCGCCGCCGCCGCCCGCCGCCACAGGCGCCGGCGCCGGCCCAGAAAAGGAAGTCGTCGTCCCCGCCGCCGCCGCCAGCCGCCGCCGACGCAGGCGCCAGCCCGAGGAGAGGGACAGAGGAGAAGTAGGGGAGGAGGGGGAGGAGAAAGGGGAGGGGAGTCCGGTTCCAAACCATCCCCTCCTCCAAGCGACCACATAACGCACTCTTTCTTTCATTGACATCCACCGCTTGTCTGTGAGTGGCCTCGTCCTTCACCAGGCAAAAACTGCACGTTTCGCTGGGAAACGCCTCTTGGAATCTGCCGGCCCTGTCACCATGTGGAAGACGTTGTCCTGTTTGATCCGACGTGGTCGTCGTCGTCGTCGTCGTCGTCGTCGTCGTCGTCGTCGTCGTCGTCGTCGACGTCGCCTTCGCGTTTGGCCCCCTTTCCTTGGGCCCATTGCTCCTCCCCCTTTCATTGGGCATTCCTCCTCAAGCGAACCAGCTAAAAATCACAACGAAAACGACATTGAGCAACGTCGTAGTTAGGTCGACAAAAAGCCCGTTCCCTTTGATCCCCCCCCCCCCCCCGGCTGGGCGGGAGGGTGGTGGGGGTGGGTCCAAACGGGGCGGGGGGGTCCCAGGAGGAGTCCCCGGGGGAGGGGGCCCGAGTCAGAATGTCATCTTCCCTGGGGGGGGGCTTGCCCCAAAACAACCCAAAAGGCACTCAAAACGGTCCAAGAGGGCCCCAGATCGTCGAACAATTAATCCAAGACGCCAGGGATGGCCTCCTGACAGCTCACGCGGCTGCTAAGACGCTCCAAGAGGCCTCCAAGAGCGCGCCGAAAGGGCCCCCAAGTGGCAAACATGAAATGGTTCTTTCGGTTTTTGAATGATTCTGGCGCTCTCGCGTTTCGGCCCCCCGACGTCCCAAAACGGCCCAAGGTGCCGCCCAAATCGGCACAAGATGCCCTTTGCATCCAGCAAAGCACTGGCAGCCGCGCGCCCCGACAGAAAAACGGCGAAACCTGTCGGCCCAGCACGGGGCGACGCCCCGAGGAGGTTTCACCTGCGAAGCCGACGACGCATATCTGCGAAAACGATGCGAGCCACGCGCAGCCAGCAACTGCACTGGCTCTTGCCAGCGCGCGCCCGAGGCGCCGACCCCATGTAGGCGCGGCTGGCCCTCGGGCGCGGGGGGCCCGAGAGCTGGGGCCTCTCCCTTTAGCGCTGCGACCCGCTCTCCGTTTGCCGCTACCCCCTGGGCGCCTGGGAATGCGGGCGCTGCCTGGGATTTCAAATTCAATTTGCCCCGACGCGCCGCGATCTGCTGCCAACTGTGACCCATGCGAAACTTGCAGATCGCCCCCTCGAGTGGCCCTCGCGGGGCAGGGCCGCGGAGCCTCGCGCCCCCCTCGGCGACGGTCGCTCGCGGCCAGGAAGCCCTCGATCGGACGGGCCGAGTCGCGAGATTGGCGGGCGCGCCACATCATCGCGCATGACTGTTCCTGACCGCCACTACTCTTGTGGGCGTCGGCGTGGAAGCGCCCGATCGTCTCCGCGACGTTGGACATGCTGGCCGACGCAAGGTGGGGGTGATAGAACTCTGGCGGCGTCTCCGACGCCTGCCTTGCCCCCGCCCCCCCCTTGCCGTCGGCCGCCGCTCGCGTCGCCCCGCAGCCGAGCGCCGCCGCGAGGATGGCCAGGCGCGGCGGCCCCTCGCCTCGCGATCGACTGCCTGCCCGCTCGCGGCGAGCCTCTTGAGATCGTTGCCCTCCCCGTCGTGGCCCCTGCCTGCTTTCTGGGCGACTGCGACGCAGCCTTGCCCCGTCCTGGTCAGGTGCTTGGCGCGCGCCGGCGCTCCTGCGTCTGGGGCGGCCGTGCTGTTCGACGACTCTAGTTTGGCGAGAGGCGCGACCGCGCCCCGCGCGGCTTTGTTGCCCTTGGTCTTCTCTGTTACGCGGCCGCGGCCGCGGCCGCCCTCGCCTCCGCCGCGCGCGGCAGGGGGGGCGCGCCGGGCGGGCGCAGCGAGCTTCGTCGCCCGCGTGGCCGCGACCGACATCTCTGGAACACGGGGCGCGCAGGAGCTTCCGATAACTCCCCATGATAGGTGGCCAGAGACAAGATGGGCGCAAATGTCGCCGCGCGCGCCGCCCTCGCATGCGCCGCACAAGCAATTACAACTAACTCTTTAACGCCATGAGTCTGCACAGCGCCCGAGCCGCGCGTGGAATGCAATGGCCGCGCCCCAGGGGTCTTTCCACGCGCAGGTCTGCCGATGCCTGCGACGCCAGCGCTTGTTTTTAACCTGCGCAAGCGTTGCATGGCGCAAGAGGTAGAATGCGTTTCGGACGCGGCGAGCCCCCGCCATATGCGACGGCGCCCCCCCCGGTTGGACTGCCGCCCCGCGCTCGCGCCCTTCCTCGCTGCGTCTGCGCGCGCGCCTGCGCCGGAATCTCGCGCCGGCGGCGCGGCGCGGGGGGGGCGGCGGGGCGCGGGCGAGGCGGGCCATGCCCGCTGCGGCGGCGGCAAGCACTCCAGAAGCTCCGTTACAAGCGCACGCGCGCGCGCTGCGCCGGAGATCGCCGCGGCCCCAGCGCCTGCGAAAGCTTCTAGATCCAGGGCCCCATCGCGCATGGCCTCGCGCGGAAGAGGGGCGCCCGCCTCGTCGAGGTCACGGGGGCGATTGCATCTGGCACGGGGATGCCCGCAGCGTCTGCCGGCCGCCACAGCGCGCGTGGACGGGCAAATGGAAAAGCGCAGAACAATGCCGCGGACAATTGCGAGCGGCGGTCGGGCTGCCTCACCCAGGCCAGGATCGACGCAATTAGAGCTGTCGGGGGTGGATCTCGCGGAAGGGGGGCGCGCCAGAACTCCCAAATCTCTGCGTTAGATAAAACTGGCGATATGGCGTCTGTCGCAGTTGGCAGCGCCCCCCGCCCGTCGCCGCCCGACCCGAACGGGCCGGGCGAGAATCGAGGGCGTCGCAGTCTGCGCGATGCAGGGAGAAGCTTTCGCGGCCCGAGAGTAGCGCGCACTGAGCGAAAACGACGAATAAACACCAGCGCCAACGCGCGCCCGACGATGCGAGATCCCAAAGGCCCGCGAGCGAGTGAAAGCACCCGCGAGCAACCGAGCACCGACAAGAAATTTCCGATCGCGCCGCGTCACGGATGATATTAGAGACGGACCCTAGTAACGCGCCTCTTCCGCCGCCGCCGCCCCCATCCCGAAAATGTCCCTTGATCGTGAGTCCGCGCGATTGCGGAGACCCTGCTGGCTCCTGTTTCGAAATATTCTGGGCTACCACTTCGCGATAGGGGCGAGTCAAGTTCCCTGTCCACCACCTGAAGCTCGCGGCGGATAGCGCGCGGCGAGTCCGCTGGGTCGACGACGACGTCCCCGCGGCAACGTCAGTGCGCTTCAGCAGCGACGCGCCTTCTCTCCAGCCCTTCTGTTACCCCACTAGAAGCCCGCGCTGGCGATCTCATTCACGCCCCCCCGCCCCGCCCCGCCCGCCCCCGCCCGCCCGTGGAAATGACGGGCGCTTGCGGCTGCCCGGGAAGGCGCCGCGACGAAAGGGTCGCGCGCGCAATCCCGCCGGCCCATGCACATGCAGACCAGCATCTGGGCAGTCATCGGGCGAGAATAAATTTGCGCCTGCGCGATGTGCCGGAGGCAACGAGCGACGCTCTCCGCAGCCGCATATCACGAGACTACGTCCTCCAGCGCGTCGCGCGACGCGCCGCCGACGAAGGCGCTGCGGGGGCCCTTCGAACAAGCGGCGCGCTTAAACCCCCAACTTCCCGAAACCGTCTACTTACCAATGGCAGAGAAGACGCCGTCTCCCCCCCCCCCTGTCCCCGGCGAAACCGTCGATCGCCCGTGGCCGCCGGGGAAGTTCGCATGCCCGCTGAAATCGGTGACCGGGGGGCGCCCACGTGGAGCCCGAAGGGTCGCCCGCCCCCCCCCCCGGCCGGGAGCGGCCCCCGGCGGTTGCCCCGCGGGTTGCCCCGATGGTTGCCCCGACGTTTGCCCCGATGCATGTCCCGATGGTTGCCCCGATGGTTGCCCCGATGGTTGTCCCGATGGTTGCCCCGATGGTTGCCCCGATGAGCTGCCCCGGTGGTTGTCCTGGTGGTTGCCCCGATGGATGCCCCAATTTTGGCCCCGACTGTTGCCCCGATGGCTGCCCCGACGGTTGCCCCGATGGTTGCCCCGATGGTTGCCCCGGCGGGTGCCCCGATGGATGCCCCGATGGATGCCCCGATGGTTGCCCCGATGGTTGCCCCGATGGTCGCCCCGATGGTAGTCCCGACGGTTGCCCCGATGGTTGCCCCGACGGTTGCCCCGATGGTTGCCCCGATGTCTGTCCCAATAGTTGCCTCGATGGTAGTCTCGACGGCGGCCCCGGTGGCAGTCGCGACGGTTGCCCCGACGGTTGCCCCGATGGTTATCCTGATGGTTGCTCCGACGGTTGCCCACATGTTTGCCCCGATGGTTGCCCCGATGCATGCCCCGATGGACGCCCCGATGCTAGCCCCGACTCCTGCCCCATTGGTTGCCCCGATGGTTGCCCCGATGGTCGCCCCGAAATCTGCCCCGATAGTTGCCCCGATGGCAGCCGCGATGGTTGTCCCGATGGTTGCCCCAATGGTTACCCCGACGGTTGCCCCGACGGTTGCCCCGATGTTTGCCCCGATGGTTGCCCCCGTTGGTTGCCCCGATCGCGGCCCCGATGTATGCCCCGATGTTTGCCCCGATGGTAGTCCCGATGCTTGCCCCGATGGTTGCCCCGACGGTCGCCCCGATTGTTGCCCCGATGGCTGCCCCGATGGATACCCCGATGGTTATCTCGTTGACCCGATGATAGCCCTGGTGTTTGTCCCGATGGTTGCCCCGATGGTGATGCCCCGATGGTTGACCCGATGGTTGCTCCGGTGATTGCCCAGGTGGCTGCCCCGATGGTTGTCCCGACGGTCACCCCAGGTTGCCCCGGTGGTTGTCGTTGCGGATGCCCCGACGCGCACCCCGACGGTTGCCCCGGCGGTTGTCCGGACGGCCCCGATGGTTGCCCCGATGGTTGCCCCGATGGCTGCCCCGATGGTCGCACCGATTTTTGCCCCGAAGTTTGCCCCGATGTTCGGAGATTGCCCCGATGGTTGTCCCGATGGCGTCGCCCCGATGGGCCTGCAGCGCGCGCGCCGCCCTCCTGCTCTTCGGCCCTGGAAGTGCCGGCTCTCTCACGCCGCGCGCTCGACTCCGGCGCCAATGTAGAGGCGTCGACTCGTGGGCGCAAACTCTGGCAAGCCTCGCATCCACGTGAGAGTAAAAGCACAGCGCGCCCAGCGGCCTCGGCCTGCCCTCTTGGCCGGCAGTCAAAACACCCGAAAAAGGCGCCAGAGCTCCAGCTCCACGAGGCAGCGACGAACGGCTCGGCGATCCGAGTCCGAGAGTTCGAAGATCCCCCGATTCGGCGGCCAAGGGAAGGCGCAGTCGCGATCCTCACGCAGCGCCCCCCAACCGTGCCGATGCGCCGCCGCGCCGCCCTCCAGCAGTTGCCGCGCGGATATCTATCGACCAGCAAATATGGGAGGCAGGTCGCGCGACCGCGCCGCCCCTTTTCTTCGGTCCATTCTCGATCTCGAAGCGACTCGCCCTGGCGCCATGGGCTCCGCAGCCCCCCTTCGCTTCTGGATATCGCTCGCGGTGAGGCCGTCGACCCTGCTCGCGCGTTTGGCCCCATATCCTCAATTCGGAATCAGTGCATTCCTACGTCTGAAGTCGAAGCTTGGAACTGGCCCGCGCGCGCCTCGAGGCGCCGTCGTAGAAGATCTCCGCGCCCCTCGCCGTCGCACTTGCAATGCTCGCGCGCCCCCCCCCCCCCCCCGGCACTAGCGCAAAAAGCTGGGCCTGATTCGGTCATGCATGCCCCCAATGCCTCGGGGACCTCGTCGGGCGGACTCTCCCATGCATTCCGGGGTCCAGCCCAGAAAGATGTTCTGCCGCTGCCGTGATGAATGATATCGTGTTGTTTGTTCTTGCACCAATGCCTGCACCAAGGCAACGCGACCCCGCGGATCCACTGGTCGATGTTATGCCATGAGCCAGAACGCATGGAATCAGCCGAAGGCCCTGAGGGGATCCGCCCGATTCGAGTTGTAGTTTTGCGCCCAGCTTCGAACTACTGCGCAATTCATCGCTGTCTCCTCGACGCCTCCTGGACATGCCCCACCCGTCTCATTGGCCTGGAAGAAAGTTCCCTGCCAGGAGCGAGTGTTCTTCCATCGCTCCTCGCAATGGCGCGCCTGCCCCTCCCACCGCGCGCTCTAAGGTTCCCACTCCCACTACTGCAAATCTAAGATCAACAACACCTGCGTCGCTCCCTTTAGAAACCCATCCCGTCATTCAGATCACTGCGCAAACAAGACGGCACTAAACTGGTAATAATCGAAGTACTGCTCGCAGCCAGTCCCGCAGAATGCGCGCCGTGGCTATGTAGCTTCCATTAATTTGATGGCCTGGGTTGTTCGGTGGGAAGGAAGCGCGCGGCGATAAGGGGCATCGGTCCTCCTGTCGCCCGCGCTTCGCTATCGTAGCTATGGCGCGACCTCCCGCCTCACCTGGTGATGACCAACTGCGTGAGGTGTGGTCTTTTCTGAACTTCCCCCTCAACGCGATATAACATCCACAACTCGTGTTTGCGTGTGCGGGGTCGTCTGGTGCACCGACTACGACTCGACCTTCCACTCTACAGGCGGAAATCCGCCGCTTGCGTCCCAGCTGCTAACACCGCGTCTAAATTGCGCAGGTCCGTATTTTTCTCTTGTCGGTCGCCAATCGCAGCCAGCGGGTTCCAACCTTGAATACGTAGTCTGGACATCCGCGTTAGCTCCCATCATGGCGCTATATGTCGGTGGCGCCCAGGCAAAGAGCGAAAACACAAATGGGCCGAACATTCGCGCAAAGTTGTTTGAGCCTCGCGGGCTCGCAAGATGCCCCCAAGAGGTGTCCAAGACGGCCACATGACGGCCCTAGAAGCCTCCCAGACGACCGATGAGGTCCCCCAAACAAATCCAATAGTGTGCCCACATGGGAGCCCGAACGAACATTTCGAACCTTCGGCCCCGAAAAGTTCCCAGGAGGCCGCACCCAAGATGCCCCCAAGAGGCCCCCAGGAAGCCCGAAGGGACCCCCAAGAGGCTCCCAAGAGGCCGTCAACATGCTCCCAAGAGGCCGGAAAACTCCACCCAAGAGGCCTACGAGCGCGTTCCGAAGAGGCAACGAAGCAACCCTGAGGACTCTGGCCCACGTCCGCGTCGTCGTCGCCGCCGACGCCGCCGTCGTGGTCGTCACCCCCCTTCAGGGTCGGCCGCAAGGCCTTCCCAGCACAGGCGCCATCAAGAGGCCAAGACCAGAGAGCACCCACCTCTAGCTGGGCCACGAAACTAGCTAGAGGCATGCATGGGGGGAGACGAGGACAAGCAGCACGAGAAGGGACGGAGCGGGGGAGGAGGGCCCGCCGACCTTGTCTTCCGCCGAGCCCCCGTCGCGAGCGCCCTCGGACTGGGGTGCGGGGCCGTCCGGGTCCCTGTAGGCGCCGTGCCGGAACTGGACCTGCTGGCCCCTGTGCTCCCCGTGCCTGGCAGGGCGCCAACTATACTAGACTGCGCGCAGATAGTGACTCTGGGTGACGGTGACCTCTGGTGCGCGCCTTCCTCGGGACCGCGGGGGGGCCAGACACAAGCGCGCAACCGCATCGCGCTGGGCGATCGGGGGACCCCGTGGGCCCGCATCAAAGGTCACTCCCGCGAGGGGGCACTCTTACATGTAGTCGATGTGCACCGATCGGCGGCGCGCCTGGGGGGAAGTGGGAAGGCGGCGGGGTTTCTCGAAATCCTCCGGCCTTCTGAGAAGTCGTCTCTGTCTTCGGGGAACACTCAGAAATACAACAAGAGAACCGGCATAAACATAAACTTTCGACATTCCACGTGGATTTCTTGGATCTGAGCTGGACCCCCCTCCCTGGCGCGCGGAGCGCGCCAAGGGCGGCGGCGGAGGCGCCGCCAGGGGGGTGGCCCAGCGCAAATCCAAGAAATCCGAACGGAGCGTCTAAAGTTTATGTTTATGCATTTTTGCTCCTGTTCGAAAATCGTCTCTGTCTCAGGGGAAAGCTTGGACGACTTCTCAAAGGCCCGAGGCCTTCTGAGCCTTCTGAGGCCCGCCGCTTCCCGCTTCCCCCTCAGGGTCCCCCTCCCCGGCGCGCCGCCGACCCCTGCGCCGATCCTGGCCTGGCCCATCCCGGGGCAAACATCGCTGCGTGCGCCCTCCTGCTCCTAGGCTCGATGACCCTCAGAACGTGTGTTAGCGCCAGCGTGTGCTTGTCCAGCAGAGCCCTTCAAGAGGACGCAGCCAGCGTGAGGTGGGCCCAACGGGATACACACACATTCGGCTAACACCCGTCCTGAAGATCATCGATAGACGTGCGTCGGCCTGATGGTTTATGACACGAGTTCACGGAGTAGAGGAAGAAACAGAGGCATAAACATAAACGTTCGATGGTCCGCGCGGAGCGCCCAAAGTTTATGCTGATGCCGTTTTTTTCTTCGACGGAAGTCTCGGTCCCTTTTGGTGGCCACATGTGAACCCTACTCCCAACCCCCCACGATTTCTAAGGGGGGGTGGGGGCTTCATGTCGTTCGAGAAGTCCCGAGCGGATTGAACCCCCAACCCCCCTTGGGAATCGTGGAGGGGGGTAGGGTTCAGGACCAATTTTTTAACCCGAGTCGTTCTTGACGGTCCCAGGGCCCAGCGAGGGCCCCTGGAGGCCGAGAAGGACCATATGTTGTTTTCTTTACGACGCGGTGATGTCTGGGCCAGGGCTGAACCTGAACGGTGTTTTCCGGTCTCGTTTCGATGCTTGTTTTCCCTCGTTCTGCCTCCGCTTCGCCCCGAGGGCAAAGCAAAGCGAACAACAAAACGGCCCACGGGATGACCAAAACACCGTTTGGGTCCAGCCCTGACGCACAGGGGCGTGTGAACCGACCCCGGGCCCCAGGATCGGCCTGGCCAGGAGCGGTGCAGGGTGACTAGCTGTCGCCCTCCGAGTGCCCCCAGCGCGAGAACATGAGCGCGTCGAGCCGCTTCTTGGTGCGCAGCTTCACGAGCTTGCCGCGCATCTCCTCCTTTCGGGGGGGCGCAGAGGTGGGGCAGGGGCAGGGGCGGGGTCAGAGGATGATCGGTCAAAGCGGCCCTTGCAAGACGCAAATGTCAGCATCCAGCTGGGTATGTCGGTATGTATCCCACACTGAGATAACCCCCCCTCTGCGAGCCCCCCATCCTTCTCCCTCTCCTGCAGCTGCCTTGCGGCGTCGTCGACCTCATGGAGGTCCTCCAGGCCGGCGGAGGCCGCGGCGGGGGCGCCAACGCTCGCGCGCCGCTTGCCCGTGTCACCGTCGCCGTCCGAGTTGTCCGAGGAGTCGGAGAGGTCGTCCAGACGGGCGCACAGCTCCGCCTCGTCCATCTGATCCGCCTGGGGCACCGCTGCGGCCTCCTGTAAGACGAGGCCAGGACGAGGACAAATTCGGGTGAGGATATCTGAGATCTGGCCGTTCTGGAGGATGTCTCGGGCGCAGCGGCCTTCTCGGATCACAGCGTGCCGAAACGCTCTGAAACAGATTTTCCTCGTCTTAGCCCCCCGTCCGATCCTGCTCGGCGATCCAGGCCACCGCTCCTTGGTGCCGCCAGAAGCCGCGGACGGTGGCCTTTCTCTTCCCCGGGGACTTGCCGAAGAAGGCGCTGGACCGCTTCAGAAGAGGGTCCGCGAACGTGATGACGACCCTCCCGGGCGGTGCAACATCGTTGATCATGTCTATCGCATCTCGATGGCGCACATCTCCTTTGTTGAGCCTGCGCCGGTTGACCTTAAGGACCCTGGCTCCGGGCTGGACGCCCTTCTTTGACGCCTCGCCGTCGTCCCGCTTCACCTCTGCGACGACCCACTCGTTTTTCCGGAGTTCGAGCACGACATCCATCTCCAGCTCTGCTACGTCATCGTACGCTACCCTTTTGATGTACTGCTCCCTTGCTACCTCCTCTTTGACTTTCATAATACCCGCCTGCCCCTCGGCCTCAGAGTATGTATTCAACATTGTCGCGAGGAACATATTGATGGCTATAAAATAGAAAAGTATAATGTAGACGCAATAGAACACCATAGCCACTGGCAGGTCTTTCTCCATGTACGGTTCGAGGTCGAGCTGACCGAGCATACACAAGAAGAGCGTGTACGACGCGTCAGTCAGAGTGTGGACTTCGTAGACCTGGACACCAAAATACGAATGTATGAACACGCCAAAGCCGGCCATCAGCAGCACGAGGATTACCAAAAAGCCGAAGTTCTTGTGCCTCCCTTCCCACAGAGTGTTACTGAACACTCGAATGGAGCTCAGATTGCCGACGTACTTCACAACCTTGATGGCAATGAAGAAACTATTGAACCCAGCTATGGCCAAAAACATGTCGTAGCGACTCTTCACCCTCTCGAATTCATAGAAGTCCGGCACCGCTTAGCGCGGTAGGTGTGCCTCGACGCCTACTTGTTGGCACAATGCGAAGCCAACACTGTTTCCTTCGACGCGCCGATGGCTTCAATCGAAGGGCGAGTGGACCACGAAAGCGCTCGCAAAAACCAACCCTCACACACAAACAATTTTCTTCCAGCGGCCCAATGGGTTGCAAACGCCAGATATATTACAACAAAAACGAGTTGCGCTCGAAACAAATTGACCACCTTGTGTGGGAACGCACACACACGAAACTGCCCTCAAAATAAACTCGTTTCCAGCACCTGGTCTCAACACGCTGGCCTTTTCAAAACCGAACTGCTGAACCTACACCGCTGGAACGCGTTTATATATAATATCGAGAAGACCATGCAAAACGGTCCTCACGAAAGACTCGTTTCCAGCACCAGGTGTCAACACGCTCGCCCATTCAAAACCGAAGTGCTGAACCTACACCTCTTGAGAGCGTTTCCCAGTTTTCCACGACAGCGGCCGTAACCGTCCCTGGCCTTGCCCCTCCCACACCCCACAGCCCCCCCGCTCACGTCACGATTCGTGCTGACCTCCGAGTTGGATGTGGCTATGTTGTTCTTGTTCATTTTGCCTGTTCTCCCGCGGAAGACACGCCACCGACTCACACCCGGCTCAACGAGTGGAGGAGGAGGAAGAGCAAGAGCAGGAGCAGGATGATGAGGAGGAGGAGGAAGCGGAGGGAGGCGTCATGCCTCAGGCCCAACAAACAGCAACAAACACGACCAAACGAACAACGCGGCACGGCATGCTAAGCCGCTTAGTCCCATCCTTGAAGCCTTCGGAACCGTATTCGGCCGAGCTGGGCCCGAAGAGGCGAACACCCAGAAAACAAATCGTGCATTTACGCCTCGGCCCGGGTGTGCGCCTGGACGGCCCCAGGCAGGAAACCAAGGAAACGACAAGGAACCTCAGGTGGGCCGAAGGGCCATGCGGCCCCGATTTGAACAAGTCTACCTGCCTCAGTTCGCCTACAAACACCCCAGTGGCTGAGCGCAGCTCGAAAAACTGGCCAAGCCTGCGGGCCGTCAACAAAAACGGCTCAAGACGAGAAACAAGCTCGTTCAGCATCTGCCAGCACATGTGCGACACGCGGCGTCCACCCAGGATGGCCGGCTGCGCCTGGCAGTACCCCGACAGGCGGGATAAATAATCTGCAGAAAGGTGAAGCCGCCAAGGCGGAGGGGAAAGACGCACGAGAGCAGTGAGGGAGGGGGGGGAGGGGAGAAGGCCAGGAAACAAAGGAAACACGCGATGAGCAGACACAACTATGCAGGAGGCAAGGGGAGGCGGCAAAAGCAGCAGAGGGCAAGCGCGCGCGACGGGAGCGGGCGGGGGGGCTAAAAGAACGAGGGTCGTCGTGGGCGAGTCGTGGGGTTCGTCGTGGGTCGTCGCGGGGGTTAATCGTGGGTCGTCGCGGCGCCAAGGGTCGCCGTTGGTCGTCGGGGGCGTCGCGGGTCAGGGGTCGTCAGGGGACGGGAAGGGCAGAGGGCCAGCCGGCGCCGACGGCGACCGCGACTCTGACGGCGTCAGCCGCAACCGCCGCCGTGGCCGCTGCGAGGCGCGCAGCGGGCACCCCCGCCGACGGTTGTAGCCGTCGCAGCACCGCCCGCGCGCTCCCCCGACGCAGGGAGACTGAGAATCGCTGGGCGTGCTGGCCTGCCACTGCGGCAGCTTCCTCCCCGGTGGCGTCCGGCACCCTCTTGGCCAAGATCGCAGAAGCTTTCCTGGTTTCGCGCCCCCACCCGCCACCGTGGGCCCCCACCGCCATGGGTATGAAGGTGAAGCCCTGCGCCGCGCACTGGCGCTCGGTGCCCAAGTGTTGCCGTTTGAGCTCCTCGTGCCTCTCCGTGGCCGCGCTGGAGGACGCGGCGCACGCGCCGAGGAGGCCGCCGCGCATGCCAGAAGTGGCCGCGAAGTCCCAGGCCGCTGGCACCCCGTTGCGACCGTGGGGAACGTAGGCGTCCGCGGGGCGCCTGCCGCCTGCGTCCAGGTCTGGGCCGTCCTGCTCGCCGCCAGGTGGCCTTTCGTTGGCAGCGCGCGGCGGGAGGAGCCCCAGCCGCTCCAGTCCCGCCCCCGAAGCCCGCTGCTTGCGCGTCCGTCGAAGAACCCCTGGTTCCGAAGCGCGGTGTGGCACTTCGTTCTAAACATTTCCAAAGACCACGCCGGCGCGACACGCGTAACGCTCGCTGGGAATAAAAAGCGCTCCCCCAGTCGGTGAGCACACAGAGGCCCCGCGAGACCTCCATGGAGCTCTCCTGTGACGGCCCCGAGGCGGCTCAGGCTGACTCCTCGAAGGGCGTCTGCCGGTCGCGACCAGCCTCAGATAGCATCACAGTGGGCCATGGACAATAGCCTGACTCTCCGAGACGGCTCCAGGACCTTGCCCGGCTCGCAATATCTCGCCCAACAGAGGGACAAAAAGCATCGTAAAGAGAAACCTTCGGAGACCCGCGCGAACTTCTTGCATCGGCGCTGTGCCCCCGTGGCGGCGCCTCTGGCGCCGCCCTTGGCGCCCGATTCGAGAAATCCGCGTGGACCTGAAACATCGACATTTATGCCTTATGCAGTTGCCTCTTCCCCAAACTCCGGCCCCACGAGTCAGTATCAGGGGCGCCGCGACTGCACGGCACGCCTGCTGAAAAGTGGCCACTGGCCGGAGGCACGTGCCCGCCGTGACGGTGCAGAACCGGGACAACTCAGATTGGGATGTCCGTGCGGCCCGACTGCCCCCAACGGCCCCTCACAATCCCCCTGGGAACTCTCAGCACATGACAGCGGATGCTCCATAGGAGGCTCCCACGTGGCCCTGAATCTATCGGTGAGGAGACCTCCCAACGCAGGAGGGCCCCACACCAGGCCCAAAACATCGAAAGTAAGCTGGGATTGGGCTCGGGGCCGCCCCAAAACCTGGACGGCAAGGACATTCCAGCTTGAGACACGCAGCAGACCAGGCAGCACGAATTCACACATGGGTTTCCACCAATGTGTGCTCTCTCGAACCCCAGGAGGGCGCTCTGACGCTAAGTTAGGCGAATCTACAGACCCTCTTCAGCAGCCTTGAGCTCGTGAGGTCACCCTTGGGGTCTCTTGTGACGCGTGGGGCCCTCTTGGAGCGACTTGGGACCTTCCCTGAGCCTCTTGGGTACTTCCCTGACTGCCCTGAATCGGCGGCGAGCAAGGGGGGGGAAGTCAGGAGGAGAAGGCCTTCTCAGAAGTTCGAAGTCCCCCCTGCCGTCTGAGAAATGTTCCGAGCTTCCCTCGGAGCCACAAAAAGAAACCTCTCAGAAGGCGCGATGGCTTCTGAGAAGTCCCGCCGCCTTCTGAGAAGGCCTCCGCCTTTTCTCACTTCCCCAAGGGCTCCCAACTTCGCGCTTCGCGCTGCGCGAAATGCGAACAACTTCGCGCTCTCGGGCCGCTTCCCAGGGGAGAAGAGGCGGAGAAATCGGAGCCGAACCGCGAAGCGCGAAGAACTTCGCGCCCTCGAAGGCGCCCTTGCTTCCCCCCCTCGCTCGCCGCCGAACCGGGAGGTCCCCCCCTCGAGAGCCCCAGCTCTCCCGTGGAGGGTCGCGGGAGCGAGCCCCGCCGCCCGCAGGCCCTCGGGGGCGGCCAAGCGGGGGGGGTCCCAAATCTCGAGCAGTAGATCGACTACAGAATCGGTTTACCCCAAAATTGGATTCCTGTCGAATCCGTGTAAACGTATACGTACTCTCTTTGTAGATACGACGAGGGAATCAATTTAGGGGCAAACCGATTCTGTAGTCGATCCCCTACTCAAAAATCATGGCCAGAGGCATGTGCGCCGCCCAGGGGGGGATCAGGGGACGCATTGAAATAATAAGTGGGCCAAGCTAGCCGCGGAGATTTCATGCCCCCAGCCATGATATCCTCCCCTAGTCATCACCCCCCTTTTGGCCGCGCCCGAGCCCTGAGATCCGTCGCTGCGAAAAACTGCAACATCGCAGAGAATCACGACCCGAGCCCTAAACCCCATCTTTCTGCGGCATGTGTCGAGCCCGATCGATCTGTGATGGTCCCGGGGCCCTCGGGCGGGTGGTCCTTGGGGGGTGGCCTACGAGGCGGTGAAGAAGAAGGCCCTACATGGGGCCCTTTAGGGCCCCTTCTGGAGCCAGCAGGGGCCCTAAAGGGTCCCTGTGGGGCCCTTTTCTTCACTCATAGGTCACCCCCAGCGACCATCCGCCCCAGGGCCTGGGGCCCGAGAACGGGCGCAAACGCCCGGTGTGGAACAAAAATGCAGCGCCCAGACTTCAGGGTGTTCCTCGTCCCGGAGCGCCCCGTCCCCGAGCGCTTCCTCCGTTGCCGCCCCGGGAGAGACGGGGATCTACTGACCAGGGTCAATCCAGACTCGGGTCAGTCGGTCGTTGCAGGATCCTGGATCCTGCACCCAAGCCTGCATGGGTCAGTGCGACCCTGGCCCTGAAGGATCCTGCAAGATCCGGCGCTCGCTGACCCCCGTTTGCATTGACCCCCGCCGCTGGAGCCACGACATACGCCCATTCCCTGTGCATTTGTCGGTTTCGCGCGTGTTCTTTCCCTCCCGCAAGATGATCCGAGACGCTCCTCGACCGTCCTCGCCGAGAGAAAATGCACACGTCCGAGCGATGCCGAGCCATTGCCGCTCTGGGAGAGCTCTGGCAGGCCTCTTGAAGGCCTCTCGGGGCCTCTCGGGCGCCGCTTGGGGCCTCCTGGGGGCCCCTTGGGGCGGAAGGCTCGGATTTTCGCTTCGTGTTCTCTCTCTGGGGCCCATCTTAGGGCCGTCTCGGGGCCTTCCTGGGCCGTCCTGGGCGCACGTTGGGCCGCCTTGGGGCTCTCTTAGGCCGTCTTTGGGCCTGCTTGGAAGCCTCGTCTTGAACGGCGCATGGGCTTGCCATCTGATGTGGCACCTAGCACGACACACAGCGAGCATCCCAAACCACATGCGCCACTTCGGCGGGACACTTGCATATGCTGTAGGTGCCCCGCCTAAGTGGCGCATCCGACGATCTTTCACTGTGCGATCTCGACCCCCCGCCGTGCTTTTTGGAAGGGGGACGGGGCCCTGCGGGCCAGTTGGGCCTCCGGGGGGCCTCCGAGGGCGCCGCGCGGCGCGGGGGTCCGAGGCGGCCCCCCTGCGGCGAGGGGCCCCCCCCCGAGGAGCCCCCGAGGGAGCCCCCCCGAGGGGCCCCCGGCGGCCCAGGGGGCGCCCCCCAGAGGAGCCCCCCGCCGTGGCGACCGCAGGCCCCCACGCGGGGGGCCCCGTGCAGGGCGCCGCCCCCTCCCCGGGGCGGCTCCGACCGAGGAGGCCGCGAGGCTCCGCGCGCGGCAGGCGTTTCCCCGCGGGCGTTGTTTGTCGCCCCGAAGCTCGGGCCTCGGGGCCCTCCCCGCCCGAGCCGGGGTCGAAAGGTGGTGCAGAGGGATGGGGTCCAGGGCTGCGGTCGTGGCTTTTTGCGATGTTGTCATTTTTGTCGCGGCGTCGGATCTCGGGGAGGTCGCCTGAGGTCCTGGCCTGGGGTGCCATGCTGGGCCTGCTCTGGAGCTGGAGAACGCCGCAGACGGAGCGACCCTGTCTCCGACATTGAACCACGCCGAACGCAACGGCCAGGTTGTCCATAGGCGCATCCAGCCCGAAAAGTGTCTATGGGTGTCGTGGCACCCAATCTCCCGATGTGTCCACAGACGCTTTTGGCTAGGACGTGAGAACAGTATTTGGCATCGGCCCAAGATGTTGGTCTTCTAGAAGTGGATAAGTTTGGCCCTCCAAATCCTGGCGTCTCTGTGTTCGACCGGGCGTTTGCGTCGGGCCCCGGGACCCTCACAGGTCGATCCGGCTCGAAAAATTGTGCGGAAAGACGGGTCTACGATTTTTTACCACTTTGAGGAGGAGGAGGAGGAGGAGGAGGAGGAGGAGGAGGAGGAGGAGGAGGAACAGCAGGTAGCCACGCGGCGCAGCGGTCGTGCTGCGCTGCAGCGCTGCCGCGCAGCTTCCTCGGGCGCGGTGGCGGCTACGCAGCAGCGCGACTGGATAGTAGTAGTCGTCCTGGAGAGGCCGCGCTGGGTCCGAGGCATTCGCCAGCTGAAACTCTTGCTCGTACTCAGCTGGGACAGCGTACTTCTCGAGTTCATTCAGGCTGAACACATACTTCCTCACAAACTCAATTCTGAGGTAGAATGCAATGTGTATAATGTTGACCAATGACAGAGCCAGAGATATCGTGTCTGTGAGGTTCCAGATGTTGGAGAACCTGGCGGGCCGTGCCATGAATACGTGGCTACTCAAGGGCGTGCCTGACACGTCAGAAATGATTGGCAACACGTGAGGAGGCGTGGTCTAATGTGTGTTCCTGTGGGGCACACCTTCGCTGATTCCCCACGGGATGAGATCGGGGACTCGCTGACCCGGGCCGATGCCAACCCGGGTCAATCCGGCTGTGCAGGATCCAGGGTCCTGCACCCAAGCCCGGGTCACTGCGACCCTGGCCCTGCAGGATGCTGCAAGATCTGGCGCCCTGGCCGACCCCCGTTTGCGTTGGCCCCCGTCCCCAGACCCCCGACGTCATGATTTTTTCATGACGCGACCCCCAGAGGTCCAGACCCATTCCCCGGGACCGGTTTTTCGTCCTGAGTCGTTTTTTGACGGTCCCGAGGCCTGGGAAGGGCCCCCGGAGGCCGAAAATAGCGAAAAACCTCGTGATTTTTTCACGACGCGAGGAGGTCTGGGTCTCAAGGCTCCCGAGGGACGAGCGAGCGGGCCCGCTCTCCGGGACGCGCCGAACCCCATGGCCGGGTCTGCGCGGACCCCCCCGGGGCCAGCCAGGGAGGGCCACGCCGGGAGCCCGGGCTGGCCCGCCGCCCGGTATAGCTCCCCGGCCCGGGTCGGCGGGGGGCGAAAAATTTGGACGCCCGAGGCGGGTACGGAAAAAAGAGGTACACCCTGCGAAATGCTTAAGAAATCATGGGTTAAGAAATTCATAGTCTCAGAACTTGAATAAAAACCCAGAATGTCTATTCAAATCGTGGGATTTACATTGAAAAGTTAAGAATAATCGAGACTCTGGACGAAAACTTGAGTTTTCTTAAGCATCGCCTAAGGTGTACAACGCCCAACCACAAATGTTGCCCAAAACCGACAGCGGCCGCTGCTGGGCAGGCGGCCTTGTGTGTTCAGAGAGCCACACGTCCGCGGTGGCGTTGCCCCAGCATACCCGTTCTTTCCGTACCCAGATCGATCGTCCCGAGAAAAGGGGGGATCGGCTCCACGTGGCTCCCAAAGCCAGGTCAACCAGAGAGGAATGGCTGAACCCCGTGAGCGCTGATCCCCGTCAGCCCCCACCTTCCCACTGGAGGTGTATGAGCTTTGATATCCTCTATGTTCAGTTTATGAAGATATCTATGAGTGCTGTCTGCTGTAGATTTACTCAAATTTTCATTGCACGGGGATGAGAGCCCTGTCCCCCGTATCGCGCCGCCATGCTGGACTCCCCACGGGCGCAAGGTGCAGCGGAATATCTGCATTGGGCAATCGGGCGATATCCCATTCAGGGAGCCTCAAGAGGACGTACGCGTCCAGCCACAACATGAATACGTATGCTCCCCAATTCGCGAGGCTGACCTGATGTCACGAACGCTCGCGTGATGCAATCTCTCGAAACCCATGTGGATTCATTCGCGAGTGCGTCATTGTTTCGCTCCTGCACGCTTGGAAGCCAGCATCTCTCTGCTCCGGTGGCCTCACTCAGGGCGCAAAAAGTGGCGGCACCTGCTGGGTTTGGCAACATCACATGGAAGGCAAGGTCCCGTTTGAGCTCGCGCAATCCAAAAGAAGCGAAACCCTGTTTGGGTGCCCGCATCGCGCCGCTTCGGAGCGGACCCCTCAAAAGCACAAGAGTCTGGCGACACCGCTTCGACGGTCAACATCCTGTGGGAGGCAAAGGCCCGTCTGGGTGCCCGTACCAGAGCTGACTCCCCAAGTGCACGGGAATTGGCGGCACCATTCCTCTCGCCTGCCAGCATCGCAGGAGAGGCGAAGTCCCGTTTGGGGTGCCCGCATCGCGCCGCCAAGTTAAAAACGTTCGTCCCACCAGTGGTGCACGAGCGGGCGACGGCAGTCGGGTGTTGCCAGAAGTGCTCCTGGCCCAGGGTGCCCCCAGGATTTCCAAGGAGGCCCCCAGGGCCTCCAGAGCACCCCTCACGAGGCCCAGAGGGCCCCAGGGGCTCCAAAATTGAGCGAAGAGCTGGGGGCACCTTGGGCCAGGAGCACCTTTCACACCCCCGAAGCAGCACAGTCGGCAGCGCCAGGGAGAAGCCGAGGCCCGGATCGGGCGCCCGTGTCGCGCCGCTCCCGATGGACTCCCCAGGGGCAAGAGAGGCGGCGACAACGGGGCGACCGACCGACCGCTCTGAAGGAGGCGGGCCCCACTGCGGGCGCCCCACCTCGGGCCACCCCAGGTGGTCAGACGAAGCCAGGACGAGGACAAAATCGGACGAGGACAGATCGGGCATCTCTGAGACCCGGCGGCTCTGGAGGACGCCTCGGGCGCCGCGGCCTTCTCGGAGCGTGCAGGAGCGCTCCGAGAGCCCTCCGGAACGCTCCTCGCTCTGGCCCCGCCCGAGGTGGGCTCCCCGGAGATGCGGGGGGCGGCCGCAGCGCTCCGCTCAGCAGGTGCCCCTGGGGGAGGCGAGGCCCGATCTGGGCGCCGCCTCGCGAGCGCACTCCGGGAGGCTCTGAGGGCGCGTGGTGCTCCAGTGGAGGCCAGTCCTCAAGGAGCCTTCCACCAGAGGCCCAGCCCTGAGACCCCAGGACGTCCATCGGTTGTCGGTCCATCGCAGCACCATCAAAACCCAAGAGCCCAGGGCACCCTGGAGGCGGGCAGGGTGCGTCCTTGGACTGGGCCCCCTCTGTATGGCTGCACCTGAGAGGCAACCTCGCACACAGACACGGACCTTCGGAGGTTCGCGCAAGCTGCCGGGTCGGCACTGCACCCTCTCGGGGGCGTCCCAGGGGGGGGCGTCCAAGAGATGGAGGGCGCAATCCATTAGGGGGCCACATGCGAACCCTACCCCTATCCCCCACCATTTCGGAGGGGGAGGGTGGGGTTCACTTCGCTCGGGAGCTCTCGAACGAATCGAACGAAGGGAACCCCACCCTCCCCCTCAGAAATCGTATGGGGTAGGGGTAGGGTTCGCATGTGGCCCCCTATCCATGGCTCTGGCGGCCCGTGCGCGGCCCAGGGGGGGGGGGGGCGCCCAGGAACGCACTGAAGGAAGAAGTGGTGCGGGAAGCGCCGCCGGGAGGAGCGGGGTGTGCAGCGCCGGCCCGGGATGTCCGCCGGCACCTGCGGCGGCTACTGCGTAGCCTTTCTTGGGCCCACTGCGAGCCGAGGGGCCATGGCGGGCTGCTCTGCTGGGCTGCCCAGGATCCCAGGGAGCTGCGACGCGCACGCTCAGCGCTCACGGAGCAAATTGCGTATGTCCTTTTTGGATGTCCGCCCCGCTTGTACCCCCGTGGGCGCAAAAAGCGGCAACAATTCCTAGAGAGCACAACAAGCTAAAACGAGGGCAAGGGCAGGATAACATCGGATCGTGACAAATCGGAACTCTCCCAGATCCAGCAATTCTGGAAGACATACCCAGCGCCGCGGCCGTTTCAGCTCGTTTTGGAACGCTTTGAGAGCGATCTGGAACGCTTTCGAACAGTGCATCCCCATGCTCTGCCTGCCTGAACGACAGTATCTGAGCATCGTTCAACCGATCCCTATCCCCACTGGCGTGGCCCGAGCCCCACTGGCCAATCCACCCCCCTAGATGGGGATGTAGGCTGTTCCCTTCGGGGTTTCGAGGGGCTCATCCCCAACTGGGGTTGTGGGATGGTGGGGATCGGGATGGAGATGAGGATGGGGATCGGTGAAACGATGCCAGATGTCTGTGTCACGCTCGCGGGGCGACCCCATCAGCGCGCTACTGCCTCGAGCATCGTCTGGCCATTCCGGGGGCCGCGCGGGCTAGCGGTGCGCAGAGTTCCAGAGGCGACGCGCGCGTCCCTGATGCTCGTTTACCCCTCCCGACCTTGCACGTCTGGCTAAGCCCGTAGAACTACTGTGATTGCCACGCCCGACACGGGTGCCGAAAGGAGGGGTGCGATGTCCAAACGCCACACGCTGCCCAACACCGGCAGCGGCCGCGGTTGGGCCGTCGCCATCTTGCCTCAAGCGGACAACGTTCGCGGCGACGCCGGCAACGAGCCCTGCTCCACTAGAGGAAAGAGAACTATGCACATACACCGACTCTGGCCAGGCCCAACCCTGAGCCCAGGATCGGTGCATAAGCCCTCTTGCCTTGGCCAGGAAGGCATATGCACCGATCCTGGGTCAAGGATGGGCGCTGTCAGGATCGGTGCATGTGCATACACCCTGCGAAATGCTTAAGAAATCATGGGTTCAGAAATTCATAGTCTCAGAACTTGGATAAAAAACCCAACATTTCCATTGAAATCTTAGGATTCACATTGAAACGTTAAGACAAATCGAGACTCTGGCCGAAAACTTAAGTTCTCTTAAGCATCGCCTAAGGTGTAGTTCTCTTCGCCCGATCCGCGTAGACGGAGATGGCTGCTGGCCTTCGCCCCCTCCCCCTCCGCACCGATCTCGAGGGCGAGGGACACAGGTCGCGCCGAGGAGGAGGAGGAGGAGGAGGAGGAGGCAGAGGAGGAGAAGGAGGAGGAGGAGGAGGAGGAGGAGGAGGAGCAGGAGGAGGAGGAGGAGGTAGGAGGAGTAGGCGGAGGAGGAGGAGGAGGAGGAGGAGGAGGAGGAGAAGGAGAGGCGGATGGGATGGTGCCTCCGACAATGCCTGACAGGACGAGGCCTGGGCAGTGCGTCCCGGCCACGTGCGGCTGTACTGGAATAGCCGCCGCAAAGCTCGAACCCACTGCGACCGCTTGCCATCGCTCGGACGTCCGTTCCCTGTGTATCCTTCGGCTTCGTGCGCGCTTTTGTTCGCAAAATGATCCAGGCTGCTCCTCGATGGCCCTCGCCGAGGAAAAAACGCGCACGTTTGAGCGATGCCACGATCGTACTGAGACGCCCCGTCCCCCGTCAGCTGGCACCTTCCGAAGCTGGCCCCCCGGCGGAGGCCCGCACGGTCACCGGGAGGCGGTGCCGAACACCGCGCCCGGCAGCCACCGGACAAGAAAGCGGGGCCTCGCGTTGGGCCCACGCCGGCGTTCCCAGATGGTCGGGGCTCTGCTTCATGTCGGGCCTTCCAGACCAGGAAGACGGGGAGGGCGGAGAAGGGCAGACGGAAGAGTGCGGAAGGGTGAAGGAAGCAACCGGGCAGGCAGAAGCGGCAAGCAGGCAGGCAAGCTGACAGGCGGGGTTGGGCGTCGATTAATGTGGGGGCGATGAATGGGTGGGCCCAGTGGGGGCGGGGGGCACGGCCGCGGGGCATGAGCCACCAGACCCCGCCGTCAAGCGCAGGCGCGTACCCTAGGTTCGTTTCGTGTCGACCCTGGCGCTGGTTTTTGACACCACGGGGATCCTTCAACCTTGAACGATCGGCCGTCTCCGAAACGCCAGATCGTTCGGCATCGACCGATTCTGGTCAGCGTTGAACGCAGGCGGCGGGGTCGCCGCCGGTCGACACGGTGCGAAGCTACTGTAGGGGCGGGCGGGGGGGCATCGTCGCCCCCGTCAGGCCAACACGCCTTGACATGTGCGCTGCCGCCCGCCGCCACGGCGCCACGCCGGCCGCGCAGGCCACGTTCCGTGGATCAACACGAAGCCCAGACAGGGCACAATCAACCCGTACAAGAAGGACGCGGGATAAGGATGCAGAGGGCCTTGGAGAGCTGTGTCGACACTCTGCGAGCAGGGTGCGGCCAACGAAAGCGGCCAAGGATGAGCGCCCCCCGCTTGAAAGACGAGCTCGCTCCTCGGGCCTGCCCCTCGGGCGGGAGCTCCGCTCTCTGAAGCGGACGTCTGCCGCATCCTCCTCCTCCTCCTCCTCCTCCTCCTCCTCCTCCTAAGCTCATCCTTACTAAGAGGCTTGACTGGGAGGCTGTGACTCGTGGCGGCCGGTGTCGCTCTGGGCTGCCGGCCCGTCCGGGTGCTCCTGGACGCCGCTTCCACGGCCGCCCGATCCCTGTGGAAACGCACTCAGAAATAAAAAACAACCGTGCTCCCAAGCTAAAATCGAAGAGCTTGGAAACAAAGTAAACATAAATCTTCAAAATTAAATGTGTCGGATCTGCGCTGGGACCCCGTGGCTGTGCTTCCGGCGCCGCCCCTGGTGCGCTCCGCGCGCTTGGGGAGAAGTGTCCAGCGCAGATCCAAGACATCCGCGCGGAACTCCGCAAAGTAATGTTTATAACTCCTTTGCTCTTCGATAGAAGATCGGCGGCGAGCAAGGGGGGACGTGAGGAGGAGAAGGCCTCCTCAGAAGGCGGCGGAACTTCTCACATGCCCTCGCGCCTTCTGGAACATGTTTTTTGGTCTAGGGGGGAGGCGTCGAAACCTTCCCAGAAGGCCGGGGGACTCCCGAACCTTCTGAAAAGGTTTCCCCTTCTCGCTTCCCCCCTTCGCTCGCCGCCGACAACAGCTGCAAAACCATAAACTACCCGAGGTCCACGCAGATTTGCTGGACTGGCGATGGACCCCGTTCCCTGGCGCCCTGGGGGTGGGGGGGGACAGCGCCGACACAAGCACCCCGCATGGGCCTGCACAGAATTTCCAAATGTTCGTTTTGGGAACCTTCCTGGAGCCACTCGCCCCACTCATGCGTCGAGCTGCGACGAACGCCCGTCGCCTTGAGTCGAAGCTGAGTCGTGGAGTCGAGCTGGAATCGAACTGGAGGCGGAACAGCTGAACTGATCGGTTTAATGGGCCCCGAAAAGGTCCACAAAAGGAACATATTTAATTTCATTTGTCGCGGCGCAAGCAACCCGAACTGCAGCCGTTGGTGCTCTAGGACTAACAAAAGAGCCTGGCCACTTCATTCGATGCTTCGTCGAGGGCGATGGCTACGGCACCGAAAACACTGCACGGTGGGTCAAGAAACGTACCGTGGAGCATACTTAGAATAAAAAGAAGCAGCCAACATAAACCGTTGGAGGCCCGCGCAGATGTCTTGGATCGGCGCTGGACAGCCCTCCCTGGCGCGCGGAGCGCGCCAGAGGGCTGCGCCGGAGGTGCCGCCAGGGAGACCCAGCGCCGATCCGAGGAATCCGCGCGGACCGTCGAAAAATAATGTTGGTGCCGTGTGTTTTTCGACCCTTCGGCTCCCATCACTCGGGCGCACACCCCCGTGCAAAATTCAGTATCCTGCGTGTTCTTTTGTGCGCGAGACGCTCATGAAGAGCTTTAAGCCAACTAGACCGCCAAACGACGTGCAAACCGCAAGCGGCAACTGTTCGGTCAGCCAACGACAACGCCGCGGACTTCCATGCGAACGGCGCGTTGCTGCTGTGGTCATCGGCGTGTGACCTCGGCGTCGCATCGTGCTGACACGCGGCCAGTGCCCAATGAGAGAAGACGCCCTGCTCAACACGCGGTCGCTGCTCAATGGTACGTTGTACACTCGCGTTCTCGAGCCGGGGCAAAAACCAAGGGGCGCGTCGGCTCTTGGCGGCGCTGGCAAAAACTCGGGACAACGCCTGGGGCCCGCCCCGCATTGGCGCACATCGGAAAGATTAGATCCACCCCAACAGCAAAGTTTAGACACCAGGCAGAGAAGTTTGTGCAAACCCCACATCAAGTCGAAGCAAGCCTTCCCGAAGCGGGAAATCTCGCACGGGAGAGCCCCAACACGTTTCTGTAAAAACCGTATAGCACCAGCAAGAAAGTCGCTCTCGATATAATTGTTTTCCGTGGGCGGGGCTATGAGGGGGCGACGGAGGCGTGGGCGGGGGCCCCTGGCTGGGCTAGCAGCGCTGCCATGCGAGGGACAGCGCCGCCGTCGCCTCAAGCTGCGTGGCGCGGGCGCGGCACGCGTGGCTCTGGGAACGCCGAGAGCGGGCAGGGCCGCGTCGACCCGGCCCGGGACGCCGCCGCGCGCGCGGCCCTCACCCCCCTGCAGCAGCTGGCAGTGGCCTCGCTGACACGGCGCCTGCCCTTACTTTCGCACACTCGCCACACGTGCAGACGGTTCACATGTAGAGCCCATGGTTGTGAGGAGGAGGAGGAGGAGGAGGAGGAGGAGGAGGAGGAGGAGGAGGAGGAGGAGGAGGAGGAGGAGTGGGGCTGTCGGTTTCCCACTGGTCCGTCGATGGTCCTCGCCGAGAAAAAACGCACACCTAGCCAGCGATGTCCAGCCCATCGGCCGTCGCTCGCCCGAGAGCGGGGACACCTGAAGGCACCGACACCGCTGCTCCACGGACCTCTCCCGGGGCGCGCTCTGGCCAGGGCTCCGAGGCGAACCCGGCGGGGCCGACGAGGGCCTCCCAGGAGGCCACAGAGAGGAGAACACGGGGGAAGGGTGGCGGTGCGGGTACCTCTGCTGCGGACAATAGTTTTATATCCACATCCAGTGCGTCTTGGGTTCTTGGGCTCTCTTCCCCAGAAACTGTGGACGCACTGGATATGGATAACAATCTGGCCCCAAGAGGCTTGATTTTATCCATATCCAGTGCGCCTCGGCGTTGCGGCACCTCTTCCCAAAAAGTCCACGACGCCCTGGATATGGATATAAGTACTGCCCGCATCTTCCTCCTCTGAGCTCGCCCGAGAGCCAGATCTTCCACCACGCAACGCGGCCCGAGGGGTCGTGCACGCGCCTGCGCACCGTGCGGACCAGGTCCCGGAGCAGCAGCAAAGACGCCACGAGCACGAGGAGCGCGTAGAGGGCGAAGAGCACGAGGATCGCGAGGCGCGCGGTGCGGAACGGTCCGCCTCTCTCTCGAGGGGGAGGAGGAGCAGGAGGAGGAGGCGGAGACGGAGCAGGAGGAGGAGGAGGAGGGGGGGGGGAGGATCAGAGGAGTAAAAAGGTACCCGTTCCGCTGCCCTCCGCCAGTGTTCCTCTTTATTGGGGCCTCCTGGGAGGCCCTCGCCGCCACTGCTGGCTTCGCCTCGGAAGCCTGGTCAGAGCGCACCCCGGGAGAGGCCCGTGGAGTAGCGGTATCGGTACCTGTGTGGCTTCACCAGGGAGGGGGCAGAAAAGTGAGGTCCAGCAAGCGGGCTCCAACTCGGCCTTCGATCATCATGTAGGCTCTGCTGCGCCGGACCCGCCCCAGGCGCAGCAAGGCCGACGACGTCTCGGACACTGCACCCCCCATTCGGTGGCAACTCATCGGAACCTCCCATACCGTCTTGTCGCTGAATCAGCGCTATCTCATTGATTAACATATATGAATCGACGCTAGTGCACGCTGAAAGCGGATTTGCGGGAGTAGACGAGGCTCTCTTTCTGAGGTCCGCGCGGATCTCTTTCGGCGGCGCGCCTGGTGGGAAGGTCAGAGGGAGAAGTCCTGAGAAGTCCTTCTCGAAGGCGGCGGGGCTTCTCAGAAGGCATCGCGCCGTGAGGTTTTCTGCTTCTTCGGGGGAGGCTTGGAAAACACCTCAGGGTCTGAGGCCTTCCGAGCCTTCCGAGAAGGCCTGCTCCTTCTCTCACTTCCCCCCCAAGAGCGCCTCCAGGGGGGCTCAGCGCAGATCCAAGAAATCCGCGCGGAGCTCAACAAAAATCAGATTTGCGCAATATGATATTATTCGAGCCTCCATCGGTGTAATTCATGTTGAAGGTTACGGCGTTCAGCGACTTTTTCAGCACTCCAGTCTCCATCAGGCTGAACGCGGCGGTGTGAAACGAGAACGTGTCCAGGTTACCGTTGTATGTGACCCAATCGAAGACGATCGATGCGGCATTCTTTGTAAACCACTTCTGGTCCGACGCCGTGGCGATCATGTCCTCGCACTCCCGCTGGTTGGTGCCGAGGTTGAACACAAAACCTCCTAGCAACCCGTGAGAGCCCAACTCCGTGTCTGAATCTGCGTACTTTACGCTCTCGTCCGCTAAATCGAACTTGCTGACGCCCTCCTTGGAAAGGTCGGTGCCCCATGCAGTCCTGCAGGACTCTTCCGTCAAGACTCTTTGGCAATCCTCGTTCGCACACTCAATGTTGGGGGTTGCCCGTACTGGGGTATCTCCCACATTCAACAGCAACTCCGCATTCTTGATGTAGCATGCCGGCTGGACGGTCATCCGCACGAATGTGTTGCTGAGGAAACCAATGTTCCAATTGCCTATACGTTGAACGACTTGCTGATTGCCCTTTGGCACGCCCGAAAAAGGTACGATGCCCGGCAGCAAGCATTGCGCCCAAACCAACAGTGGCCGCTGTTTAGCACGCGATCTTCTTGAGGCGCAAAAAACGGCGGCGACACCGACGGCGAACCCTGCTCGGAAAGGGCCCGAACTCCTGCCGGTCGGCGCCCCCCCTCTTCCCGTACAGTGCGGGCGCGGCCGCAAGAAGCCCTCGCAAGAAACCCAGCCCTGAGAACCCGTGCGCGAGGCACACCTGGTGGGAAGCCCCGAGCGCCCTGAACGCAGCAGCTCCTTCCACGGCCGCGGGGAGTCACCGCGTAGCGCGAGGAGCGAAGAGACGCTACCCTGACGAAAGGCATATGGCTTCTTGATGCGCGCCCCCACTGTACCCGCTTCGACTGCACCGATCCTCGGAGCTGTCGCAGGAGCGCCCACGAAGGTCCCACTGGTACTCGCCCTCCGTCTCGACCGAGCAGGTCTGCTCGCTCGCTGGCTCGTAGAGCGCCCCGCAGGCGGCGTGCCCCCATCTCCCGACCCCCTCCATTGTGAAGACGGTGCTGTAGTTCTCAATGCGGTAGGGCCCGTCTGCTTCCCAGTGCAGCTCCGTCTCGAGCGACATCATCGTCACCTGCGTTGCTTCGAAACTGGACATGTTGCGGGACTGCAACTGCAAGAAGGACAGAAACGCGGCCATCAGGGTCGATACGAGAACGCACTCGGCGACATCCACCTGGCCACTGGCTCTCATCGAACTTCCAAGCCTTAAGTCGGTGGCGGAAGTATCGTGGCTTACAGTCCCAAAGTTAGAGGTCGCGTGGCTGACCGTCCCTGATGGCTCTAAGAATGATGAAACTCCAGAAACGGAGCGTACTGATTCGTCTATGCTTGGGGGTCGTGCAGGTGCGTTCCAGCACCACTTCAACAAGTCCTGTGGGTTACAGCAAGCGAACTCCTTGACGCAAGGGCCAATGCAAGACCAGACGCACGAGAAGCACGGTTGGACAGGTTTCCAGAGATTGTCGTGCACTTCACGTTTGAATTGAGACATCAACGACTCGTTACCTATGCCACCTGCCTTCAACTGTTTGTCGAACTTGTCAACTTCTACGTCGTATCCACTCATTAGCACAGATATGAACACATTGAGCATAGTGAGGTAGAACACAGTATACACTGGGTAGAATATGTCGGCCATCATCGTATCTACATCAACAAGGGCACTGTACACAGGCGAACCGACAAGACCAGATAGTAGGAAATACAAGGCTCGTGCTAGACTGGAGGCCTGGTAAGCTCGGGATCCAAATATAAAGAAGATAAAGAACACCATTCCAATGACAACGAGCAGAAACATAACGGAGAAAGCCACCATATTAGCACAAGACGCCTCGAGGACCTTAAGAAAGAGCCCGAGATTCGTTCCCAGCGCCGCAACGACGCCGACCATCCGCAGGAACACCACAAGCACGTTGACAGCTGCAAGAAATCTGAACTCCTCGCTTCGAGAACACTGGTCCACTATGACATTATACGCCTGCTCTTGCGTTGCAGGGTCGAAGAGTTCCGCAAAGTCAAAACCTGTCCAAGGACTCTGAAACCACATCGTCCAAAAGAACACAAGGGAAACCGTGCAGAGAGTGATCGAGAGGAGGTCCAGGAGTGAACCCCACTTGGACAAGTATCTCGAGCCACAGCGGCGGAAATCGAACTTAGATGCCTCAATGGCCCACATAATGAGAACCAACGGAATCATAGCCACATGAGCCACGAATCCGATGTAGTCGCTGAAGCCATCTGTAAAAATTCTGTAGCTGCTGCTGCGCACTTGCATAGCGAGATCACAACTGCCGGCAAGGGAGCATTCAAACCGCCACGCTATATGCATAAACATCTCAATCTGAACATTGAAAACTAGAACGTCTACAGTGAATGAACTCATCGCCGAATCGAATACTTTTTCAGTCATGGCCATTCCCGCAAGAACATGTTTGAAAGCATCCTTACCATCCAGTGGGTTCAGGATAATTGAATAGCCTCCTTCGTCGTTCAACCCACCACTCGCTCTCCAATCCGCCACCGTTAGCGGTACGACAATGGCAGGATAGGGTGCATGCCAGCTGTCTGGCACAGAGTCTCTGGAGATCCCCCTCCAGTACAGCAATATCCAGAACATATCAACTCCCAACAGGGGGGTCTCCAGAATCTCCAGGCCAAGCCCCTCCAGGCCCAGCCCCAAGATGGCCGACGAGCCCCAAGGGGGCCCAGATTCTGGAGACCCCCCTCTGGCCATCTGGAACCCCCCTCCACTCCCGGAGCAAATCCACTCCAAGTGTTGCCAGGCCCAGCCCCAAGATGGCCCAACAAGTTGCCATTGGCAGCCTGGGGGCCCGGCGGCAGGGGGCGCAGCCCTTCACACACGTGTGGCATCCGTTCTTGTTCGGCTCCGGCTCCGGATTCCTCCGGAAAAGCCTCAAGGCACCCACGAAACCCCAAAGACGGCCGCACACCGCTCCATTTGGATCCAAAGACGACGCCAGGACGTCCGGATACCCCCCCAAGGACGGCCCAAAGAGGGCCCCACAACGGCGCCAAGACGGCCCGAGAACCTCCTCAAGACAACCCCAGGTCTCCAAGACGGGTTCAAGACGCGCACAGACTTCCCAAAGATGGTTCAACCGAGCCTATGCGAGAGAGCTCAGGAAAACAATCGCGCCAAAGGCCCCGAGACACCCGACGAGACCCCAACAGGCGCCCAACATGACCCTAAGATTCCGCCAAGAGGGCCCTAAGAAGCTCCCAAGAGGCTTCCAAGAGCGCCCGAAGGAGCCCCCAATGAGCCTCCAACATGCATTCAGAAGGAAGGAATGGGGGAGGAGGAGGAGGAGGAGGAGGAGGAGGAGGAGGAGGAGGAGGAGGAGAATGAGGATGAGGATGAGGATGAGGAGAAGGAGGAGGAGGAGCAGGAGCAGGTGCAGGAGGGAGGAGGGGGAGGAGAACGAGAACGATGCTGAGGATGGTGAGAGAGCGTTTGAGACCCGCACCCTCGCACCAGTTCAGGCAGTGCACTGGACCAGAGCGAGCCTAAACCTCAACCTCCTTTCTGCTGGACTGTCTCTGGCGGGGTTCGCCGCAAGCAGCAATATGGCAGGGTAAATTTGTTTGGTTGCATATGTCTTCCCGATATGCTTCAGAGGTCAAGACTTTCGGCGCTATGTTGGCGAAATGGCTGCTGGAGCTGGTATCCTTCACCTGCAGCCTTGTGAAGGTGATACGGTACAGCAAGATTCTGTTCATCCCTGCGAGGGTTGCAGGGGAATACTCTGAGACATGTGTGATATCGTCACCCCAGGCAGACATGGTGTCACTACGCACCTGTTCATCATAAGTTGCTGGCATGAAAACCCTCTGCATCCACAGGTAGATGTCGTCCACTGAACTTACTTCGGCCACGGTCCTCGGGGTCCTGACCTTGCCGCTGGCCGCCTTCCCAACCTCGTTGTTGAAAGGCCACGAGTTGTACTTGTGCACGCACGCCTGGTACATGTCGGCGGCGCTGGCCGTGTCAAGGGTGAACCAGGACGAGACACCGAGCGCGGCGGTAAAGACGACATAGAACAGCGCGAACGTAGCAGGAGCGCCTTGGCCTCCCGTGTTCATCGTGGCCTTGCGGCGGCTTCTCCTCCTCCTCCTCCCCGCACCCCTTCCTTGCCCTGAGAATAACAGAATGCGACACCACCACCACCACCACCAACGCGAGGAGCGGGGGGGGGGCCTTCTGGTGGCGGTCCCCCTCCTTCCGCTCGAAGCATCCCTCATGCCCAGCTCGGGGAGGCATCCGGGACCTCCGCGCTGAAAAGGGCTCCTCTGGAGGTGGTGGTGTCGCTTCGCCTTCCTCCGATATCTCTCCGAGGATCACTACGTCATTACCCTGCTCCTGTTCCTTCTTTGTTGATTTGCTCCTTATCACGCTCCTGCTCCTGCTCCTGCTACCAATCCTTGTCCTCCTCCTCCTCCTCCTCCTCCTCCTCCTCCTCCTCCTCCTCCTCCTCCTCCTCCTCCTCCTCCTCCCTCCTCCTCCTCCTCCTCCTCCTCCTCCTCCTCCTCCTCCTCCCCCCTCCTGGCTGCGGCCTTTTCGGGGACGGTCGGCCGACAGCCACCCCAATGGGGAGAGGAGGGCTCAGCAGCCTGGCTGGGAGCCAGGCGCTCGAGCCAGAGTGGCGGAGGAGGACGGCAGAGGGGAGGGAGGGACCGGGAAGGACGGGGAGAGCGAGGGGAGGGAAGCCGAGGAAGAGCTAGAGGATGTCCAAAAATGAGCCTGGGATGCATCAGCGATGATGCAATGCACCCTCCCGATCCAAGTCCCGTCAACACAACTCCCTGCAGACATTCTTCTTCACTGGCGGAAGCCCGCCTTGACAGAAGCGCGCCCCCTGGGCCGCCCAATCAGGCAAGGGCCCAGCTCCCCGACCAATGCTTGCATTTCGTGGACTTCTCCTTCTCTTCTGAAGAACTGGGCCTGACGGACGGTCTGGCGACTATGCGGTCGCCGTCGCCGCCCCTCGCCGCCTCGTCGCCGCCCGTCGTCTGAGGGCCTGGCGATCGGTCTGGCCGCTGTGTGGCCGCCTCGTCGCCGCCTCGTCGCCGCAAGAAGGACTGAACCACATAGAACATGCATTCCATCACACAGACGGGACCACATATGTTCCACAACATCTACACCCGGATTGCTCCACGTATATTGCACACCATACGCTGCGCCCCACCCAAACTGCACCACGTACATTGCACCATGCAGATTGCACCATATAGTGTGCACAACAGATGCGCTTCTTGAAAAGAATTGGGATCGCCCCCATCCCCAGGGATTATCGGTACACCATGGGGATGCGAAGTTCACATACGTTTGCATTTCAACCAGGCTGGCACCGACCACTACCACTTTGTCACTGTCGCCAAATAATTCTACGCACGCAGCTTCGTTGATGAACAATCACCCGTTTGTATGGACTCCTGGGGGGGGGATGATGTCATGCACACGCGCGCGTCATCGCGCGCGCATGCCGAAACTCATCCAAAAAAGAGGTTCCGTAACGATATCAAAATCAAGCGCCCCGAAAACATGCAACACAACCGGTTCTGCAAGTGATGCTTCCAACAAATGTTGCCCGCGCGCTGTTGCGAACTCAAAACCAAAATCAATTACCAATGGCTTTTCAATCGTCTCATCAAGTTCGACGACACGGGCCTCTCTCGCGCGCGCGCGTCGTCATCATTCGGCCGCCTTTGCGCGCGCGCTTGAGGGGGAGGCCGCGCGATCCCTATTCATGCGGGCCACTCGCGCCCATCGGCCGCGCGCTTATGTCGAACCCCTTCCTCAACCTTCATCACCGACAAGTTGACAACATCATCATCATCGGCGTCGCCGTCAGTGTCCTTACCGTCGTTATCGTCATCGTCGTCACCAGCATCGCTACTGTCATCATCGTGTCTGCCGTTGTCGACGTCGCCATGATACCGCGCCCGCTCGAGTCATCGACTCGCACTGAAGTGCCCTCTCGGCAGCGCGGCCTATGAGACACGCTGGGGAGTGCCTGACGGTCAGCGCCGCCGCGGCCGCGTCGGTCGCGCCACAAGTGCTGGCAACTGCGCGCGAGCTTGCGCGAGCTAGCGCGGCCGCAGCGATGCGCCAGTCAGCGCTAAGCAGTCATGGCAATCGCCGCCGCATGGGTGCTGCAAACCAAGTTGCGGGTGGGTGGAGTGATTGCGCGAGCAGCGAAATTGACGACATCGTTCGGCAGGGCGAACTGCACCCTTCATAGATTCTCGTTTCTGAGAGAAGATTCGGAACCGCCACCGGCGTTGCATCGCAATGTACATATGTTCTTGCCCCATTTTCCATCCTAAATTAAATATGAAACCGTACCATCCTCAGTAATCCCTTATGGCCCCTCTCATCCCCAACAAGAGACAATGTGCGCGCGCTCATTTACCACGAACCGCTAATTTTGAAGAGTCCATTGCAACAAAAACATGCGCACGCTCGCGTCGTCGCGCGCGCATGCCGGAATCCTATAAAGGAACACAGGTTTCGGAAGGATTTCAAAATCGAGCGTCCCGAAAACACATAAAACATGCGTGGCTTCGCGACGTGACTTTTTCTACAAAAAGCATGCGCTCGCGCTCTTGCGACTTCCTGAACAGCCATCGGTTTCCAACATCTTCATCGAAATTCTACCAAGCGTGCCTCTCGCGCGCGCATGTCGAAACCGTTTTAAACTCTAGCGCATGATGTCGCAAGAACCCCTCGTAACAGGTGTGACGAAATGCGCACGCGCTCGTCGTCGCGCACGCATGCCGAAGTCCTTCAAAACCCCTGTAGGTGTCGCCAGGATTTCAAAATCGAGAGTCCAGAACTACGTAAACGTACACTCAGTTTTGAAGCATCATGTTCTATGTAAGTAAAACCTGCGCGCTCCTGCGAATTCTTAGGAATACCATACGTGTTCTGAAATGGTCACCAGATACCACCACACGGGCTTCTCGCGCCGTACGTCGAAATCATCTGAACGCCCTTGCGCGCGTGCTGGGGGGGGGGCGCACGATCGCGCGCGTCGCAAGGAATGTAGCAAGGTCCTGGCAAAGTCCCGGCAAGGTCGGGTCAGGGATACCAGAACACCTGGGCGCTGCCTCGGGGCCCCCCCGGGAGCCCCAATGAGGCGCCAAATGGGTGGCATGCCCCACGACCTCAGGCCAAAAGCGTTCCAAGATGACCCACGTGGTCCCAAGACGGCCCAAGAAGCGCCCAAGACGCTACAGGAGAATTCCAAGAGGACTTCGAGAGACCCCGAAAACGCAACAAAAACATTGACTTTGCATGGGTTTTCAAACGATCTTGGTGGCAACGCTTTTTCAACCTGCCGACCGCCCTGGACGGTCCAACAGACCCCAACATCATTCAAAACGGCATAACAA